ACTACATATAAGACAAGTTTGAAATGTAGTAGGATATACTATCATATACTATCTCTGGATATAATATAGAATATTATACAATCTATAATATCAGGTATATGTATATTATAGATATATTTGTAATGCAAAAATGTTTACAATAAATTGTATATTTTTCAAACATCAAAATCCATTTGAAGAGGATCCCAAGACATCAACAATTTTAAGATCTAATCTGGCTAAATTCTACTCAGGCGAGTAGCCCCTATATGATCGTGTATGGATACACTGCTTGTATGGGTGTCTGATATAACAGGATGTCTTAATACATTAAAACAATGGGACTACTCACATAAGTAAGTTTTAACGTAATCAGGCCCTTTTGCTTTAAAGTGCATATAGAGATATAAATTGATAGTTTCAATTATTTATATATGATACATTCTACATATATAGGGCAATGTAGAGGGTAAAGCTTTTTAAATATTAGACTATGGCATTAAGAATTCCTGCTTGCTGATGGATCAGCTACTGTGATAATAATGGCACAACACCACATATGAATCCGAATTTCTAATAACAGTCTCACCCACATTAGTATTGATGTACAAATACTGACATCACTGAAGAATTAAAATTCTATACCAATGGGTCTCAAACTTTTTTTACGTAGACCACTTGAAAATTGCTGGGGGTCTTGGCAGACCACTTAATGATCTTTCCAAATGTTGTTTGTACCATTAGCTAACTATTGTAAAGCGCATTGGATAAAAGCACTATATAAAAAACCCCTTAATAATAATTAAAGTTTTTTTGTTCTACAAATAAAAACACACAACTCATATTTTAATATCAGTAGTCTTACATTTCTAATGCAATGGATGTGCCCTCTCTCCCCCACTAGGGCAGCCCCCAAGCTGGGGCTGGGAAGAAGGGGGGTCTCTCCCCCGCCACAGCAGCCACAGAGCTGAGGCTGGGAAGGAGGGCCATCTCTCTCCCGGAAGCCGCAGCCCTGGAGCTGGGGAAAGTCGCCTCTTTTTCTGGCTGTCGCAGCCCTGCATATCCCAAATTCCCCCCACCCCCTCTTCTCACCCCACTTCCCCCTCCCACCTACCACCTATTCCCTCCAAGGCAACCACCTCACTTACATGTGTGTGGCCCTTCATTCTCTCATGTGTGGCCACCCATGCATGCACCTTAGAGGGAACTATCTGCAGACCACCTGAATGGAGCTTGCGGACCACTGGTGGTCCACAGAACACAGTTTGAGAACCTCTGTTCTATACATTAAATGCCAAGAAAAATTAATCTTATAAAATATCATGCCAACCCTTTATATTTTAGGAGTGAAAAGTGTTCATGATTGAATTTCTGAATCAAGTGAGGAAGGAAGTGAAGCTGAAAAGAAGACCACTTAAAACACAGAGAAGCAGAAGAAATAGATAACGTGGGGCTTACTAGGAATTAAACTAATGCCAAAAAACCATCCCAATCAGAATGGCTACATTTGAAGGATAGAACAGGAGGCAACAGGAAAAGGAAAGGGAAAAGGTGGGTGGTGGAAGGATACAGAAAGATGTAAAGGCAGCAGAAGGCAAGGCACAGAAAACCAGGGAGGTGGAAATGAACTAGCAGAGAACCTGAAAATCAGGAAGAAAAAGCAGTTAATTAATTTAAATGATTAATGTAAAGTAAGTTTTATTTTCAATTAATTTGATATGCATTTCATTAGCACTGAGATACTGTGGTGATAGCAACTATATAAAACCCCAAATTAGACGGATCACTTTTAACTGTTATTTTCCCCACTAATAAAAGTTATATTTTTAAGTTATATTTAAAAACCCAAATAGTTTTTCTTTCTCCCTTTATAATATCAACATCAGGCCATTTCATAATCATAGTATGTATGGGAAGTGGAAGGCAAGGTGGAAGGCAGGTTGCATTGCTGGCAGCATTAGCAGCCTCAGAGGAGACAGCTCTAATACACAGGGCTCTGGCCCTACCCCTTTTGCACACATGGATGACTGCAGTGGTGGGGAGCCCTGTATACACATTTTATGCAGGTGTAAGAAGGGGCATTTCCTGAAGTGTTCCCTAGAGTCCAGGTGGTATTATGCATTTCAGTGGCCCAGTGTTTCAAACCATTCTGCCGAGCAGTGTACTTTTTCCAACTACCCAGTACACTGCTACATCACAAGGACCATAAATGTGCCCTTGGTTTCAGTTCATTGGTAATGTGCTTGTATAGTATCAATCGACACTATATATTTTCTTACTTAGCGTAATTTGAAAATCACTGATTTCCTGCTACTATTAGTGCTTACGGTCAAATTTGAAGCAATGACCTGTAATAGTGATCTCACTCTTTCTTTCTTTGGTTTGGGTTTGGGTTTTATTCTGCAATTCATGTGCTCCAGGATTTTTACTGCTGGTATTTCCATAATCCCTTCTAGGAATAATGACCCAAACACGTAGCAGTCAGAAGGATTTGAAGTTCTCTTTTCTACAAGACAGTAATTCTAAAATTATTCAGTCCATTCAATTAAACATTGGTCCTTTACGTAGCATCCATCTTAATCCCAACAAAGGGAATACTGCCTGCCAAAGAGAAGGAAACTCTTAAGAACCTGTTGTTCCTTCTTCATGTATCCTACATATAATTCAGGTTTGTCTTATTATATCACTTTTGTATTTTTTACTATGACATAGGAATGAAAGGAACCCGGTATTTTTCTCTCAGTAGCACACCAGTATGTTGTTTTAAGAGCATAATGGCTATTTACTGCTGCTTTTTAAAATGTGTTAGTAAATCTCAAGCTCAAATAGAAGTAGAAGCCAACATAACAATATGCCATCTGATAATAGCTCCAGTTTGGCAGTGAGAATTTTCAGAGGCAACAGAATTTGGGTCAGGCACATAATTCAAGAGAAAATCCAAATTGGGGGTGATCTAGCCTGCTGAATGGAAGTTACACTGATGTGCCAATGGCTGTCTCTGCACTTACCTTTTGGCTTTAAATTGCCCACTGTTACTACCATTGATGCAGCCCCATTGGCGGTAGTGTGGTAGGAGTGCTAATGTCTAACTCTCCAGGTTTAGACAACAAAATGGTAGAAGTGGTAGCTGTTGCACGTGTCTGCACTAGGGTTTGCACTGTTGCGTCCACCAGTATAGAACTTTGTTCACATCACAATGTCACATTAGAACCAATTTTAGCTGTTTAGGATTGGTTTATGGGGTTACCTGTAACTAGAGCTCTGAGGAAATTTCAAGCAATTTCATAAATTTGACAAAAAATGAGGGGAAAACATTTTGTAAAATATTTACAAACTCCTCCCCCTGCCTATTTTCTCACTGGAATTGAACCCTCAGAGTTTATATAATCTGTGTGGATCTGAAAGAAGAATTTTGGCCATAATATGCAATTTATTTGCTGCACCCGCAGTAGCTGTGACATCATCATCAATTTTACAGTCTGATTCATGGACAGACACAAAAGACTGGTTTATAGGGGATTTATTGAACAATAATAAACATATACTTTTTTAAAACCAACCAGCTTATTAGATTTACATTCAAGAATCCATAATGTCATTCATGACACTGTAGGAAATAAAAAAAACCAAACATGTAAGTATTTAAAACATTTAAATAACTTTCTCTGGCCCAATAAAGAATATGGCTCTGACCCTGTTCCCATTGAAGTCAATGTAGAAATTGTCACTGACATCAGTAGCCGCAGGATCAGCCCTTATGCTTGTAAATGTTTCAAACCAATACAGCATTTTACAGAGGTACTGTTTGTGCTACTGTAGTTGTGATTGTGACAGCACTTCCATTAAAATCCCTACTTCAATCATAACAATTCAGCCCAATCTAAAAGGTGTTATATGCCAGCCATGGTATTCTGTTTCTTTTTCTGACTGTTGTAGCTAGAGTCTATTTAACCACTTTTAATTGGTAGACATTCCCTGTTGTTACATATTTTTTGTTCTTTAATGCAAAATCCATTGTAGTCAATGGAAAGACTCGGGTTTACTTTAATAGGCTGTGATCAGTCCCTAATAGCCCTGAAACAATTATGGGTTTCTTTATTGGATTCTTTTACATATGTTTTCAGATCCTGCACCAAATTGCCATCACTATGGCCTGCACCTTCTCCCACTGAAGTTAATAACAAAACTATCATTAATTTCAATGGAAACCAGACTGGGTTTCCAATGAGACCGATTTATTTTATGAGCCAGATCCTCAGATATGTAAATCAAAGTAGCTCCTTTGACTTAAACAGAGCTAGATTAATTTACACTATCTAAGAATCTGTCTCTTTTTCTTTTTTTAAGTAAAACCACAAAGTATTGATTTTTACAAATGGGTTTCTGCCACACAGGCAGTAATGGCTATTATATAAGTAGGACTTAAGGTGTGCCTATATAAACATTATGATGTTTTATGCCATATTGATACATAACCAAATATGGATTGACTGAGTAACTGGCCACTTCTACAACCTCTTAAGGGGATAATGGGGATGAAGGATTAGGCACTAAGAAGGGGATGAAGAATTAGGTACTAAGGTACCCTAATGTCTCCAGAATCTCTGACATGGATTATTTATAATGCACATTTATGCTGATACTCCAGTACTCCTTCAGGTCTATTGCAGGCTATTGAACACAAAAACCACCCTTGGGAATATATTTTAACATTGTATGTGTTTTTACATAATGCCAGGTAAGTAATGCACATTGTATACGTTCAAATGATGAGTTTAAAGCGGCGGTTTTCAAACTTCATTTCACCACGACCAGGGCCGGCTCCAGGGTTTTGGCCGCCCCAAGCAGCCAAAACAAAAAACAAACAAACAAACCAAAAAAGCCGCGATCGCAATCGCGATCTGCAGCAGCAATTCGGCGGAAGGTCCTTCACTCCCAGGCGGAGTGAGGGACCATCCGCCGAATTGCCGCCGAATACCTGGACGTGCCGCCCCTGTCCGGAGCGGCCGCCCCAAGCACCTGCTTGACAAGCTGGTGCCTGGAGCCGGCCCTGACCAGGACCCCCTTCTGACAACAAAATTACTATGTGACTGGAGGGGGGGCCAGGGGGTTGGAGCCCGAGCCCCACCACCCTGGGGGGGATTAAGGGGCCAGAGCCCAAGTCCCGATGCCCCCAGTGGGGTGGAGCTCAGGTTTGGGCTTCAGCCCCGGGTCCCAGCAAGTCTAATGCATTAAAATGGGGTTGCAACCCACTTTGGGGTCCCAACCAACAGTTTGAGAACCGCTTGCTTAAAGTAATGTTTACATCTTGTTAATTGTCACAAAACTAACAAAAGCCAGAATATTCAAAGTTAAGGTTGATTTATTGAATTCACACCGTTGTGCCCTTTACATTAGTATTATTCTTGCTGGTGTGACTCAAGGACATCAGTTTTTAACTTTGCATTTCCAAGCTTTTGTCAACTTGCATCACCCTAACATTGGCTCCACGTCAGCAGCTTTTACTTACATAAAATGTCCATTGAATTCAACAGGAATTTCCTTGCACGGGGAATGCAGGAACTGTTCAAATGCCAGTGGGGGGAGGTGTTGGTTTTCAATATTACTATACATTCAACAATCCATAATACATTTTAGTGTTCAAATACTTATCAAAACAAGTATCAAAAATCATATAAACTGTACAGTCTATTTTGTAAGTAAACATTTTTTCTGACGATGCACACAATCACAATTGGTCTTCAGAGGTTACATTTTCATATGCTATAGATGTACTTTGTTTTTAAAGTGTGTTGTTGCATATTCAATAATGTGTGAGAAATGCGGTCATTTGAAAGTCCTACCAATGTAAGTAAATATCAGCGAGGATTTAACCATTTCATTACTGGAGAGCTAATTACTTTCTCTTTGACAAATTCCTCCTTTACAGAGTTACCATCCCCCGATGCCATGTCATTCTCTGAAAGTTAAAAACAAAAATTAATATCACATAAATTGGGTTAAATACAATGTTTTTTATACATCTATATCTCTAGGCTGGAAAACACTTTTTTGAAAAATCTCTGTTGATAATCCATGTTATTAGTCTACCTGTTTGCCTCCAGCGTCATCTAGTTACATTATTTCCCCAAAATGATAGCCTGTAAGAAATGTGATCTAATAAGCACAGGACTGAGAAGCAGGACATCTAGGTTCAATTCTCAGCTCTGGCCCAGACTTCTTGTGTGAGCTTGGGCAAGTTGCTTAACCTCTCCATGTCTTGATAACAACAACCGGGGCTAGATCATCAGCTGATGAAAATAGGTGAATTTATACTGATCACATTAGCTGTAGATTTGGCCCACAGTATGTACCTGGCTCATGAAGACTCATTAATATTAAGCAAAGTCCTTTGGGATCCTCATATGAACTACTATGAAATATGTTTCTGTCATTAATTGGTCTGTCTCAAGTGGTGAGTGAATATTAGAGGTTTCAAGGTCTGGGTGAAACCCTGGACACATTAAAGCCAATGATAAAGCTCCCATTTACTTCAAACTTTGGGTCTGCAAAACATTTGGTGAGAAAACAGATGAGAGAACAGAATAGGTGAGAAAACAGAAATGGAAAGCTCATGAGAACAGGGTATCTCAAAGATACATCTCTCCATCCTCCCACCAAATACACCCGGATCCCCAGTAAATCTTTAAAACTCTGGAAACATCTGATGTATGTAGGTTTAGCTAGATGTATAATCTTTAAATAGAATAAATGCCTGTAACTATAAAAAAAATCATTTTCAATTTACAATCTCAGTTAATTTATTATTTCAAAGTAGTTTTCCCATGTGATGAGCAACTAAGCTAATTTGATGCAAAACGCAGTTTTCTGTAGAATTAAAGAACATGTAAAGTTCACTAAAGCGTGGTCTTCACTGGGAAAAAAGTTGATTTTATTACCATGTGTCAGCTAACACGTGTGGACAAGGCTATTATAATTTTCACACGTTAGCTGGGAAGGTAAACCTGACCTACACCTTCCCCCCACAATTTACCTTAACCTGCTTATACATGCTAAAACTACAAACTTCCTTTTCCAAACTAGGATTTAAACACATTTTATTTACACCCTGTTTTCCTAATGTGGATGCACCTATATGTAATTCTTTGTCTATAACAAGCTTAGTAAAACATTACTGTGAGCTCTCAGTGGGGAAAAATAAAACCTGCATTATTACTTATTTGCATAGCACCGTCTGTGTACACATACACAATATACAATGTGCTGGTTGAGCAACTAAAATGAAGTGCCCCATCAAGTCTTACCTGTATGTGAAATTAACTTTCGTCTGTTTGGTGGCTTTGAAGCAGAAAGTTGGAAAAACGGGAACTTCAAACACTTTCCAGTTACTCTGTCGCATATACCAGACTGGCAGTTACAAGTTTTTCTGCATTCCATTCCATAGGTACCATAAGGACACTCTGAAAGAAGACAAATTCAAAAGCCTTATCTACCAAAGTAATCCCAAAAGGTGCAGTTCCTATTCTATGCTGGTTCTTTTACTGCACTCATCACTGCAGTATCTGAATGCCTTCTGTAGTGGTTTGCTATTAGTTTTCTTAATATCTTGTCTGCATATGTTCTTAAAGGTAAAAGAACTTTCATTGGGATTTAAGCATGCTGAAATGCCAACTTTTGTTTCAAATAGTTTCCACTTATTATTGATTATAATTATTCTTTAATTTCCATTATACATCTTTCATCCCCAATAGTATGTGCAATAATCACAAATGTATTTAAAAATTTATCCTGATTAACATTTCCCTGAAGCACTTGTAGCATTATACTGCAAATTATAGACAATGTAAATGTTGAGCATAAGTATGCAATTATATGGGATGTATAGTTAAAAATATATGCAGATCTGATGGTTTCTTTAATCCAATTCACACAAATAATCTCCCTTAACAACAGGAATACTTTTTAAAGTTTCTTAAACTTACAGTCCAGGCTCAATATTAATTTATGTAAATTTATAATTAATTTGTATTAAGGACAACAGAACCTTCCTATCAGCCTCCACTGAAGCTGCCAAATCCTGCCTTAAGGAGCTATCCAGCATGGTAAACCTCTTCATCAATCCTGAGTGCCTACAACCCACAAGAAAACCCAGCACCAAGTGCTGTGAAGAATGATCATATTACTTTGTTGAAAAGCTCACGCTCATTTGGGAAGGCTTCGTAAACGGCATGTATCTGCTCCCTCTATGCCAGCCAACAAAGAGCCCCTTGCATGTCCAGAGTGCAGAACATTCACTTCTAAAGAAGTACTGGACACTGTATAGGAATCTCAGTGCAAGACTTGTGAATCTGACCCATGCCCTTCCTGCCTTCTGAAAGACAGCCATGAGCAACTGATGCCAACACCTCATTCAGAGATGGAATCTTCCTTTCCTCCTTTCAACATGCAATAGTTTGAAATTCATCCTTCAGCTACTTTCATTAGTCTGGAATTTATCCCCAAGAAATATCAAAGTTAGTATTCGTTGTGGGGAGGAGCTGAGATGACTCAGTTTGGACAGCTTCTCCTGGGTTCTGATATGAAATTATACAAGGAAATATGTAGTAATGTAAAGATCCTAAATTGTTAATATTTAAAGTCAAACATTTTATTTCGAAATCCAGATACAAGATGGCTCTATCTAGACCTTTAACAACATTTGAGGAGCTCACCCAGGAGCAAGCTGGAACAAAAGGTTTAATTTGTAAGATATGTAAAATTTTGATTGGAAAAGATGTTAAGAAAATAACCCAGATGAAAAGATGGGTGAGGGATTTATGTGGGACAGGGGAGATTCATCTGCAATATGAGTAGCTCAGAAAAAATTTATAAATTACTGCATAGATGGCATTTGACTCCAATAAATATCCAGCATATTTTTGCTTCTAGGGAAATGCTCTGTTGGAGGGGTTGTGGGGAAAGGGCAAGATACTTGCACATGTGGTGGTTATGTCCAGAAAGAAGGTTTTGGGAGGAAATTATTGAAGAGATTCATCTTATGACAAAATGTCAGCTTCCTAGAGATCCCCTGACCTGCTTGCTTAATGCTCTGGAAAAGGATCAACATTTTAAACAGAACAAAAAATTAATTTATTTTTGATAGCTAGCAGCAACACTTTGTATTGCACTTTTTTGAAAATATGTGACTTCTCTTATGGAATTGTCATATAGTAAAATAGGGACTGTCCTTGTGATGGACCAAATGTGAAAGTGACAAAAAGAGGACAGGTATTTAGAAATTTGCTCACCCCTTTTTAGCATATTCAGAGGAGGGCTCCCCCAGACAAGAAGTCAGGATCTTTAGACACATTCTTCTAACATTAATTTGATCCTGAATAAGTAATAAATAATGTATGATGCAGTATGATTTATTGTAAGTTTGCCTTATTAAAAAGTTTTTTTAAAAAAGAAAAAGAAACTCACCTTGGATACATTGTTTCTAACCAACTACCACCCTACATTAAGCCTCCCATTTATGAGCAATCTTACAGACAAGCTAACCAAAGGCCAACGACTAGCTCATCTAATCACTGAGTCAAGTACAAGTCTCGAGTCTTATCTTCAAGGGGCTCAATGGCCTGGGCCCAGCATATCTAAAAGATTGCCTAATGCTCCAGGACAATCTCAGGCACAATGGAACTTTCTATGGTAAGGGAAAGGCTCATCTGTATAAGAGACAGAGCTTTCCCAGGGGTCAGTCTGAGACTGTGGAACAAACTCCCACAGCACATAAAGACCATCACAAACCTTGCCACCTTCTGCTCCAAGTGCAAGACACACTTCTTCAACCTGCCTTCTCTAGCATAAACAGTGTGATAGATATGGCAGTTTCCTGCAATATTCCTGAAAGACCTCATGGTATTGAGTTTACGTATTACTGTGGGTCAGGATTGTATGTAACTTCTTGATGGGGGAGATGTGACAAATATTACAACCCCATGAAGTATCTTAAAGGTCCACCATGAAGTATCTTAAAGGTCCACCATGAAGTATCTTAAAGGTCCAC